TTTCCTATATTCCTATATTTTTCGAAAAATTGAAGGTTCCTCGCAAAAAAAGTCACATATTCTTCGATCTGTATGTCAAGAAAGCAGCAATAAGACGTTCAATGGAAGAAAATACAGAACATGCTTGTGTAAATGAAGTCTGTAAGCAACTACCGTAAGAAAAAGAAGAAATATTAATGAAACTAAAAGATTTTCAGCATGAACTTCATAAAGACGACTAGACAGTCACCAATAACAGTGAACGTTTACTAGAACCCGCAATCAAGAAATAGTCTTGATATAGCTAAAGCTACAAGATTAACTGATGACGATAATACTGAAAGTAAAACGATCTGGAACAGATGTCGAAAGTACAGAACAGTTGATTAAGATTAGAAGTAAACGAAAAAATGTTTTTGGCCAAGAAGAACAGAAGCGACAAAAAAACTACAACTGATTCAGCGATTACTTATAATCAAAACAGATTTATACTTGTATATATTTCAAAATATACTTTTAGGTATGACAGATGTTTTAATAGTATTAAAAAGATGTATAGTTTATATTGTTTAAAGTAAAAAATAAATTTTTTGTGGTCTCTATTGCATTTGGTTGCATTTATAATCCTATAGGTCCGTATCTGTAGAGTAGTATGAAAATAAATGAAACACATTATTTTTTTTCATTTCTGAAAGGAGATACTTTATTATGATTAGAGGTGTTAGCCGATCCCTTTTCCGGCGGTGGCGGCGGAAAAGTTTCAAAATACCGGCGGCGGCGACGCATCAAGTCCGCCGAGGAAACCGTTTTCAGCGGCGGCCGTGAAATTGTTCGTACGTCGTTTCCGTTTATTCGTGGTTCCGTACTACTAAAACAAACATAACACGTTCCGTTCTAACAGAAATATAACATTATATATCTCCTTCAATGTGGATCTCCTTTTCTAAATAGATTTTTCACCATACGTCAGTTTATTTTCATCAAGTCAAGATTTTCAATATTTTAAGGTACAATAAGTTGAAAAATAACAATAGCGTATGCTAGAAGCAGAATCAATAGTAGTATCATTTCAATCTACTTGTTTGTCAAAGCAAATTTTGCAATAAATAGTATTGTTATCGATCGCTTCTTTCATTTTTAATGATGTCAGTTGACCGAAGTATGACCATGCAAGAGAGTGACCGGTCTTGAAAGAGCGGAGCTTGATGTAAACATCCCAAACACAGTGCGTCATTCTAGCAGAATAATCAGTTTTTCTTCACCTGCCAGATATAATACAATGTTCACAAGAAAGTCAGTTGTGTCACTGAATGTCCAATGCGAACGCAACTATTTATATGTTTCATACCTTTTGTTTTCTCGCCTAATTGATTATTCAGAAAAGGAAGAAGTTTGAACTAGAGATTCTAATTCGATCGACGGCGGCGGCGACGAAAAATACCTCGCCGGAACTCCCTCTTCGGCGGCGGCGGATGAAAATTTTATCGGCGGCGGCGGCGAAAAATCGGCGGCTAACACCTCTAATTATGATACTGCTTTTCACAAGTCGAAGATATTTTTCTTTAGTTCGTCAGATACATATCAAATAAAATAGTCTATAATCTTCAATGCAATTGAAAGATTTCTCCGACTTCTAAAGACTTGAGCAAAAATCAGTATCCTATATATTTCCTATATAGTTCGAGAAAATCCTATATAAATGATGGTGGTCAATTCCTATATATTCCTATGTTTTCATAGAGGGGTGCTACGAGGCCAGACCGCATCACAATAACTCTTTTTTTTCTATATTGACTAATAACCATTATTCTGTTTTTTATTTCTGAAGACAAGTCTTTTTGATTGAGTCTACACTTTTACCGGTGGTCCATGTTATAAATCACAAGAGAACGAGAATAGTGAATGTATCGCTACCAATGTACAACACACAGTCATTTGTAAACGAAAGCTTGCGAAAGACAGTAAGTGACAAACGGAGAAACTTGAAAGCAAACAGTAATAAAAGAATCAAATAAATATCGTTTGGACACCTGTTCATTGTTGTTTAACTAAAAGAAAAATATTCAATGACCAGCGAATAAGAAACGAATCAGAAAGAGTTCTAGAGATGTGAGTTATAATACTGATGCATTCAAAGTCAAAAGTATTTTAAACATCTATTTAGAATGAACCAGAGATGTCATTTGATTGCTATGAGTAAGAGAGCAATTTCTCCACACAATGATTGTGTTTTCTATAGCAATTAGAAGTTATACTCAATTCGATTTTACTGTTGATTTCTCAACTAGGAATTTCCTCTACGAAAGAGTCATTTCAAAGAGGCCAGTGAAATGCGATCTAGAGCACAGGACAGTCTCATCTTATACCATTAGCTAATTGAAAGAGTACGATACGATGGGGCATCACTCATACAAATATTATGTGAGTGAGAACTTTAGCTAATCGCTTTCTTTATCTATCACAGAAAGTCTATTTCATACGAAATTTCGAGTACCAGCGTACTTTTCATTATTCATCCACAAATGAATTTTGCTATTGGTGAATTTGACCGTAAAACAAGGGAGAAAAGCGGATTTTTTTTGGATCAAAATCCAGAAAAAAATTCGAACCAATCCGAAAATTCAACAGCAATGTCCCATTCTGAATGATGGGGTTTTTACCTGAAATTCTTCCGATTTGTATATATAGGTCTCATGGCCCTTAGAATATCGTAAAAGTTTCAATGCGAGAAAATGTTCCTTACTTGAAATATTGTGTGTTCAAGAAAACTCAATTTTCTACCCATACTGTTAAAAATATGAGTATTTCTTGCAAATTGATTATCTTGAGAAGGAAACATCCGTTTCTTCTGAAACTTTAGAATATTCTAAGGATCATAAGATTTATATACGAAAAAATTCAGGTGAAAATTCTATCATTCATGATTTGGATTCTTGGGCTTGAGAAATCCAAAGATCCGAAAATCCTCTTTTTCCCCCCTTAATGTAAAATTATTATTAGTCTTCAAATGTCGAGAATTCTTAATAAGCCAATGACGTGTCAATGCCGATGATCGAAATGAACACTGGTCGATAGGGTGTGGGTGTTGTAATGAGTGTGGGTGTAAGTGAGTAGAATATCAAACCCACACCCACACCCACCCCAAGTCGTGTTCGGGATTGGTACATGTCTATTTCAGATGACATTTTATTTTATAAACCTGAAAGAAAAATTAACTATCTCACATTGAAAAAAAATTTAAGAGCTTTTTAGATACATTTGTTGTTGATATAATAGGTGAAATACAACCACAATTTGTGAGAAAATTTTCAGTATTTAAATTAATATAAAGGTAGGATAAATCGTAGTGGTGGATATTCAACTCGAACATCGAATTCAGATGCACCAAGTTTTTCTTGTTGTTTTCGATTCCACACAACTTGTAATGAATTAGGGTGTGGATGTGTAGCACATAGATACCCATATCAATACTCATATACATACGCACAGCCATATCCAGACTTACAAACTCGCATCCATACCTGAATTCCGCGCATCTACCGAAACATTATGAATTTTCGGTAATAAGGCCCCTTCAAATCCGAGCAAATCGTTGTGGGAATTACGAATTATAATACGCTTTATTCGCTCTACTTCGTACTCTAGCATTGCATTACCAAATCTCTGAAATGTAGGGAGTGGGTTTAGGTGTGTACATCAGTATCGGAATGGGTATCCATGTGCTGCACACGCATATCCATGTCAAAATGTAACTTGTGCTCCATACTTTCTTTTCCATCTGGATTCTGTTTTTCTGAATATTTGTGGAGCACAATAATCTGGTTTGAATGATTGTCCAAAAAATTTCGTTCACAAAAAAGTGACTATTTTGAATTGTTATGGATCTAGTTCAACTACAAACGACTTTAAGATGGATAAACTAGAAGCAATGGCAGCACTTTTAGCAAAAATTGTTCGTTAAAGAACACCTTCATAACAGAGTTACACTTAACATAAAATCATACGAAAAATCGTGTCCACCACTGTATACTCTTACGTCAACACATCAAGAAATGCACAAAAGCGGTCAGAATGGAACGAATCAGTCTACTTCCGCCGCAAGCACATCGAAATTTTTTGGGGAAGAACGGTCGAAATTTTTTGTCAATTTTACTCAACAAGAAAGTTAATAAATTTAATATTCTGCTTCACTTCCTTTTCTTTTCTACTTGAGCAGGCATTAATCGATTCTTTTCTAAGCACAGAAAAGGTCCCTCATACAAAGAAAAATAGTAAAAACAAGACTGATTATAAAAAACTGGATGGTGATATAGGCTTCAAAGAAACTCTACATGATCAGCTATGAGTACGTCGGTAGTGTTGATAAATAAACAACCGCTGGTGGCAATCTTTGCAGCGAGTGATAACATTCCTGTAATCAATCAGAGTAATATGAAACGATTCTACGCCTGTGCGATGCGTCACCTGGTTCGTAAGCTCGATCGAAGATTGCTCCCTTTTATTATTCTCTTGGAAATCAGTTCATTCATCAATCGAGTGAGCATCGGTATGTGTTTTTGATTTGAATCATTCATTATTGATGATATTCTCCTAGGCCACACTAAATTGATGGGTATTAGAACCGATCTGAATATGTCATACAAACTGAGTGACTTGGCCATTTCACTTTTTTATGTTGCCTATGTAACAAAAATGACGTCATTGTATAGCAATGTGTTCCAATATGACTTTTTACTCTAGTCTGTCTTTGTGGTTCCGAGCAATCTTCTCATGCGCTTCATCGGACCGACCTGTTTTCTGGCATTGAGTCTGCTTACCTGGGGTAGCATTACTGTCGGTATGGCTTTTGTAACTAATGGTCAACAGCTAGTTGCTGTCCGCTTTCTCCTCGTAAGTTCATTATGAATCTCAACTGATAATAAAACATTTGAAAATTGTCATCGAAGGGTATGATTCAAGCAGGTTATTTTCCTGGTATCATCATTTATTTCTCTCTTTGGTACTGTAAAAGAGAGCAAATCATGAGAACAGCTATTCTGTATGGTGCTGCCATGGCTTCGGGTGCTCTTGATGGTATCCTGGTACGTACTCGTTCATCTTATAAAAAATCATCTGTTTCGAGCTAGACAAATCTACTATTGTCATTAATTTAGACTTATGGTATCTCACACATGAAAGATATCGGTGGTTTGAAACCTTGGCAATGGACGTTTTTGCTCGAAGGTTCACCGATCATCCCACTTGGTATTATTACCTACCTTTTCCTTGACAATATACCCAATGCTGTTCAATGTAAGAGTTTAAAGGAGTATAGAAAATATTCAAGATTGTTTTTGAAAATTTAGGGTTAAATAATATGGAGAAGCAACTATTGACAAATCTTCTTCGAAACGATGCCGGTGTAGCTGACAGTGAGTCCACTTCGGGTACTCGATTTTCATGGCTACAAGTTCGTTATGTTTTCATCGATTGGCGAATCTATTTCTATGGCCTGATTAATATTGGCAATGCAACCGTTCTCGTAAGTCTGACAGCGTTTCTTCCGACACTGGTTGAAAGTATGGGTTACTCCAAAGCTGAAGCACACTTAATGACAGCACCACTTTATGTTGTCGCGTGTGTTTGCTGTTTGTTGACTGGCTATTCGTCGTCACGTCAAAATGAACTTGGCTATCATCTCGCATTCTGTCTATTGGTCGGTTTATTTGGATTCATTCTAGCTCTCACTCTGTTCGATCAAGGTAAAGTGGCAATCTATGCCAGTACTACTGTTGTTTATTGTGGCACAGTTTCTGCATCACATCTACGACTTTCTTGGTTAACAAATAATGTTGGTGGTCATACAAAGAGAGCAATGGCAATCAGTTTCTTTATGGGTATCTACCGAATCGGTGGCGTTTTCATTCCTCTGGTGAGACTATTGCTTGTGAAAACTTATAGAATAACCCTTGAAATCGAATCATAACATGTAAATGCCTGTAAAACAGTATTAATAATGATAGTTTGTTCCTAGATCTATAGAGAAGTTGATAAACCGGCCTATCGTCGTGGGCATTTGATCTGTGCTGGAATGACGGCCGGCAGTTTGATTCTTACTATTATTTTACGCATTTGTTTAATGAGAGAAAATCATCGACGAAAAAATTTATCACCAGAGGAGTATGCACGTGAAGCAGCTGTCAAAGAACCCTGTGATTGGGTGAGTTAATATGTGATTTTCTTAATTTACAATGTTGCTTTCTCATTGTCGTTAGCATCCCGACGTACGCTACGTATTGTGACATCCAAGCCTTCCCGATCGAACAAAATGAAAATGAAAATCGAACATTTTCTCAACTCATTGCAATTTGTTTTGTAGTTTATTGAACAATAACTAAATGTCAGACCTGAAACGAAGTTAAAAATCTACTTCGAAGGAAGTGATTCATGACATCAAAATAATGATTAGTTACATAATTCTGCCAGATGTCTCATAAAGAATGATCGATCTTTGCACTTGATAATTATACCTTGTTTCTGTTTTCTTTTAAACAAAATATATTACGAAATAAAGTAAAGCAAATCCTTGATTGTACGTAAAAGCGTGTTTTTATATATGCGTGTTGTACTTTCAAAAAAGAAAAAAAACTCTACTCAACTAGAATTTCCTACTCTTCGAATAAAACCATTTTTGGTATACAAGCGGAATCTTTTTTGATTTCATTAACATAACAGTGATCGGTTTTGCCTTTATCTTACTACATATTATTACTGATACGATCCCTAGCATAATAATCTAAAATAGTGAGAGCAGGATTATTGGGTGCTCGTTTTTCTAACAATTTTCCAATGTTCTTCTTCTCTCAACTATTGTTTCACTCAATGTGCAAATGATATTCTTGTGTTTTTGCTGTTCTCATTCAAATTTGATTAAATTGTGACGCGATGCATATGCAAATGAAGACCATCCTTAATTATGAAACTTATTGTTCTTGTTGAAACATCGGTGAATCAGTAATTTTTCTTCAACCTCATCGATTCTTATCAACAAGTCTATTTTAACTTTCGTATCAGATGTTATGTCTTCGGATAATTTTGAGTCTATCAGTAGATATTTTCATATCAATTTTGTCTATTCTTTTACATAAACTTTGGCACCGTTTAACTGTATGTTAATTAACTATATTTCGCACTAAATTAGTAATTTGCAGTGATAACATCTGATTATCAGTCGTTCGTATTACCACTTTTCGAAGACTTTCAAACTTTATTTTTTTCAATATAGGTATATAAATAGCATTGAAAGGCCTGTAATTTCATGATTTTATAGCATACATGTGCTTCAAACATCTGACATTGGAATAAGTGAAAAAAGTGGATGAATAGAACGTATCGTAATCGATGCAAAAACCAGTTATTCTTAATGTTGTATCCATTATGTTGATGATTTATGCTTATAATAACAGAACACGCAAGGATTTTGTAATTGCTCTATTGTATATTTTATCTTGAATGAATCACAGAATTGGAAAAAAGGAAGTGAGCATTGCCGTCATTCGATCATCACATCTGTTCTATGCGCCTGGTGCATACTATTTACATCAATTGAGAATAATCAAATCTTTGGTGTGGGTGTCGGTCTTCTCTTCACGTGCACCCCACTCTAACATCTATATTCACACACCTACACTCCACACCCGTATTAGAATTGAGCTATTCTAGTAAAAACACTATGTGGAATCGAAAATAGTAGTTTTTAGAACGGCCAAAATTCTTGTGGTTTTCTGTATTTTTAAGCCCCCCCCCCCCCCTCCCCACTCAAAAAAAGTCAACTTTCGTCAAAAATTTCGAAATTGAGATAAATGCATGAAAAGATAGCTCTTCTTCAGATATTTCAGATATGATATGTTTTTTATTCAACATCTCTTTTTTTGGGTGTGGGTAAAGAAAAGAAGAACACTCACACCGGCACCCACACCCATACCCACGCCCGCGGCCACACCCACACCCTCATCCACGCCCTCACCCACACCCTCATCCACGCCCTCACCCACACCCTCAGAAAGATATATAACATTTGCTGATTATTGCCTTCAAATATAGCAAAATACCGTCGAAAAGGACAAAATCTTGAAAAATTTCGGTACAAAAAATGTTTTTCCTTTTTTTCTCATTTTACGATTTTTCGATTTTGCTACAAAGATTTCTCGATCCAGGCTGTATTAATATATTAAAATTTTTTTTGCTTGATAGAGCGCGTCGAGATGCAGGACACCGCAGATTTCTTTTTTTAATTAAGCTTTATTTTTTATTATATATACAGACATTTATGTAACTAGACATCCATTTTTGGCGCATTTTTGGAGTCATTGACCTTGTGTCCCCCTTTCTTCGCTAAAAAAGTAAGACTTCAAAAAAAAAGGACTCTGTGCACTGTAAAAAAAATCCGTAGAATAATAAACCCAAAAAGGGTTTATTATACGTTACACTTTCAACAACCCTTTTAAGGGTTTAGGAAAATCATAAACCCTTTAATATACCCTTACTAAGGGTATATGAAGGGGTTTAGGAAATCAATAAACCCTTGTATAAACCCTCAACAACGACTTATGGCGGTCACTAAATACGGATGGGATTCAGTAAAGGGTTTATGAAATGCTCATAAACCCATGTTGCGGTATTGCCAAGGGTTTAGGACATAATCATAAACCCATACAAGGGTTTAGGAAACGCACATAAACGCATATTGGGGATAGCCAAGCGTTTAGAACATACTCATAAACCCATAAAAGGATTTAGGAAACACACATAAACTCATGTTGGGGTATAGCCAAGGGTTTAGGACACACTCGTGAACCCATAAAAGGGTTTACGAAACACTCATAAACCCATAAAAGGGTTTAGGAAACACACATAAACCCATATTGTGGTATAGCCAACGGTTTAGGACACACTCATAAACCCCTATAAGGGTTTAGGAAACACGCATAAACCAGTGCAAGGGTTTAGAAAAAGTTCATAAACCCTTGCAAATGGTTTTGAGACAGTAAACCAAAATGGCTCACAATCAAGGCAGGTTATGAGGCGTCCTGCTTCAGCGTGTCTCAGTTGGGTGTGGGTGTGTGGTGGGGTGTGGGTGTGTGGGTGTTGGTGTGGGTGTGGGTGGGTGTGGGTGTGGGTGCGGGTGTGGGTGGATGGGTGGGTGTGGGGGTGGGGATGGG